CCGCTGGACCCTCCCTGTGCACAGGCGAACTCGAGCAACGACTTTTGTCTTTTCTTTATACTTTGTGAAAGTTCTTGATCAACGAATCCGGGGTGGTAAAACCTTACCACAACAATTTGTAAATCATGGTACCCCCAAAACCCCACAAACTTTATATAGTTCTATTGTTTTTATAAAGGGAAACGAGCACAGACAGAAAGTATATTACACCATCTATTGGAATCACCATTATTATGTAATGCATGGTGTAATGTCTCTGTAGTGTAAATATTATCAGCTGACGTGTCGCTCAGTTACAGTCAGTTTCTTCAGGGTATGTGAGTCTCTACCTGCTGGATAAGTTCAGTATCACAGTTACCACAAGACGCCATATTTGTTAGACGTTCAAGTCGAGGAAAGGAAAGGAGGGAAGAAGGTGGACAAACGTCCAGATGTTCACGAGTCTCGGGTCTTAGTTGTTGCAATCGAAGTGACTATATGGTTCAGCGCAAGTAATCGAGTAATCGAACATCTTGGACAACGCTGTCCCAGGCACCTTGTATTTATCGTCGTTCAGCTGGGTTAAGTCGCCGCCGCAGCCGCCACCATGACTTCCTTGACTCAGCGGAGTTCGGGCCTGGTACAGAGGCGGACAGAAGCCTCGCGATATCCCGCCGACAAAGAGCGTTCGTCGGCCGATGAGGACTACGAGTCCCGGCGGGGGGAAGAACAAGAGGAGGACGATGGCGGAGACTCCAAAGAAACGCGCCTCACTCTTATGGAAGAAGTGTTGCTTTTAGGCCTGAAGGACCGTGAGGTAAAGGAGCATTTTTGTAGTGAAGTTATGGTTAAATCGTCGGATTTTAGACGACGGGATGGCTAGCTGTGGTTAGCCTTTGCTATTAGCTGACACCAACTGAGTACAATAATTGGCCTTGTGTGCCAAGGCCAATGTGCCAGGGTTGTCCATCTGCACTTCTTAGTATGTTTTTATTCTGGTAGTCATTATTTAAAAGTGGTCGTTTGGGATAGATTTAGGCGAAGTAGATGTTTTCGTGTGACAGTTTGACCCATGTCTGCAGAAGTGATGTGCCGTTCGCGAGTGAATCGTTCAATTTGAACGAATCACTCTCTGCGAATGAATCACTCTCCTCGAATGAATCACTCACTCGTTACTACGCGAGTAATGTAAAACATACTTGTTACTTTTAATTGTACAATATTGTTGTTGCTGGTTTGGTTTATTTAACTTTATTTTTATTTAACGTTATTTGCGTCTCACTAATTGTCAAAATGAGTTTTACAGTTTTACTTGCCCTCTACCAGGATTGTTCAATTGTGACAGGCAGGTCGGGCTGCACAGATTTGTTCTCTCAGATTTGTTCAAAGATTCGTTCTCGCAGATTCGTTCAACGATTCGTTTTTGCAGAGTCGTTTTTGCAGATTCGTTTCATTTGTCTGCTGTAAAATGAATGAAATGATTCGTTCAAGATTCGTTCATTTTACTGTTCGAGAAGTCAAAGATCCAAATCAGTAAAAAGAGTCGGTCTTCCCAACACTAGTCTGCAGCTATTCGTCGTTGACACAATAAAGGATTTATCTTGCACGGAACTGAAAAACAAATTTCCAGCTGGAGGAGTTCATCAGTACGTCTATGTGGCAACACTACTTGGCAAACAGCATGCTATTGAATTCCAAAGTACACTTTCACTAAGCAAATATGTAAATAACGTTCAATTTATCCCAATTGAAAATCTATTTCCATGGAAAAGTTGATGCATTTACCTATAATACTATAAAAAGGAACATGTGCACTTTGGTCACTCACTCAATTCCGTAATCAACAGACTAGATGTCACTGAAAGGTTTTGCAGTGTTTTTACACTGCGTGTTTCTCCATCGCTAGGTTAAGTGAACGTTTGTGTATTAAATCAGGATTTAAAGAGATCATCCATCAATTGCTTGAACTTTTCAAACAGTTGTGGGTTGTTACTCGTGAAGTCGTATGAGAGTTGTTTTTGATTTCAAATAAATGGGTTTCATAAGCACAAGGTTGCAAAGAACCTTCAACCATAATATGTAATTTTGTAAAATTTAGGGTGTCAGGAGAAATTTTTGTGAATAAAGTTCAAGGGAGGAAGCCACACTGTACTTTGATTCACACTTAAAACCCATAGATAAATCACATTTATTAACAACAGCTTAGCTACTGTAATGGACACATGGACTTCAAGAAGTGATCTGCCCAAATTAGGCCATAAAGTGAACCCTATTATAATTTCATCTCGCTTACGTTACGTTAAACTTACAGCTAAAAGTTTGTCGTGAAAAATCCAGCCCATTTTTTATGCCGAGGCATTTTATGCCGAACTAGTTTCTTCAGGTTGTAATAAGATATTGGTTCGTGAGCGGTGGCACGGTTCGGCACATGATCGTGCTAGACCAATCAAGTAGCTGATTGATGTCAACACTCCGGCAACATGGCTACTTCCGTGGTTTTACTTAACGTTACAGATAGAGAGGAATTCTCCCAAGTCTCTCAAACAGTGCTTTATACATAGCCGCCTGCACGAAGAACGATGAGGAAAATAGACGATAAGGTGAACTTTCTATGTTAAGTCATTTTTGACATTAAAAGGAAGTAATCAATGACAAGGACCATTTGTTTATTCATTCGTTCATTTATTCGCTTCTAACTAAATACAACACCGATCAATCATAAAAAAATCTTTATTAAAACATATATACATATGTACAATATATAAAACAATAGAAAACAGCATCAGAAAATGAATGGTAATGTTAACAATGTAACCACTGCAATATAACTCTGAGGCAATAGGCTACACATGACATGTTAGTCTTCACTGTTAGTGTCAGGGCAGTTGTCATCCTCCTTCTCCTCGATTTCCTTTGTGTTTGCACAGTTGCAACACATACACAGGAACACCTACCTGTCTCACAGGCACTCTCCTTGCAGCTGTAGTGTATGACATGCAAAACACTGTCAGGGGCTGGATTTCTTGTCATCCATGTGACGTGTAGGTTTCCATCTTCTAGGTGCCAACCGTATTCAGCAGGTGATGGAGCACCTATATTTTGTTTGACACAGGACCTCATGACTGCAGCCTGATAATTTGCCCTTTTGCAGTGCTGATGGAGGGCATCGCTTGTGGGGGGAATAGACAATTCTGGCAAGGCTGATGATGCCATACAGAAAGCCTTGTACCTAGCCTCATTGACATTTTCAGCAGCTGGCTGATCATACAGGTGGCATAAATATTTGCAGAGTAGTGCAAATGTTGAGTGGTCCAAATTAAGGTTAGCACCCATATTTTTAAAGCCTTAAGGTGCTCTTCTTTCTCACATGCTATAGAATGTCTTTCTTTTGCATTTACCATAAAGGCACTTGTGGAGTCACACCCGGAGAATGCATGTATGCCAATCAAGGCTGAACACACACTGGTTCCGAGAGCTGATGACACCTTGGTAATGTCAATGATGCGTGACCTGTTGCCCGTCCCTGTGAAAAAATATAAGCTGAATGGTATGATAATAGTAATAATATAGAATTTATTTCATAGGTAAATTTGTCTGCAGACTTAGAGCAATGACTGCCACATCAGTGTCAGGGCTCTTAATGATGACTGTTGTGTGCTCCTGTGCAGAATGCTGTGCATGCAAAAACACCCTTGTGTCACATTCTTCATGATCAGACTGTAGGCCTTCAACAACATGAACAGATTGTACACCTTCCATTACAGTCACACAGTGACATCGATCCCTATGTGTTATGTACAAGCTGAGATTTTTGCCCACTCCTCTAAGGTCTGTATTATGACGTATTTGTCCTTTTTCTTGGGACGAGGCCAGAGCTCGCGATGGGCAGGCCTGACCTGGGTCTAAGTTTCTTTGTCGGACTCGGAGTCGTCCTGCTCGATGTTAATGCGATGGCTTCACTTCTTGAGCGGTCTTCCGTATCCTCTCCTCTCTCTCACGTTCGAGACACCTTTTCACTTTTGCAATTGCACTCTTTTCAATAAACCTCCGGTAGCATGTGGGATTGAAAGCAGCGTTCTCGGGAATGATTTCAAACTCCAAATCCAGGCAGTGTTTGTAGTTTTCAGCTACGTATAGACACCCACCCCTCAACCTGAGCCACCATTGTAGACTCTTCTTGTATGTATTCCATCGTGCCAGTGTGAAATTCTGAAATTTTATATGTGCATATAGCACTGTTATATCGTGAAGATTTTGTTATTTTACTAATTTCTGGTGAGTTTTCCTCTTCTTCAGTACTGCTAGATGAAACTCCGGCAGCCATATTGCTTTCCATTCCACCTTTCACGCAACAAAATCTTATTGCGCCCTGAAGACGCTAGTTCTGTATAAAATGCCTCCTTATAAAAAAATGGGCAGGATTTCTTGCGACAAGCTTTTTGCTGTAAGCTTAACATAACTCCTTTTTATGAACTAAAGATTGTGTAGTTCGCAGACGTCAGAGCGGAATTCAATTTCTGGAAGACTTTTCTTGGTTCTCCTTATGGCCTAAATAGTTGAATAATGCCGAAATGTGAAGATATTACATTTAATCCTCAGTTTTTGCTGGGAAGCCAAAAGAAACACACTTGAATTGTCATATACCATGTATCTGTGTTTAAAAGGCCTGTTTTGTGGTTCCTCAATGCAGGGCTACACATCATTTTGGAATGACTGTATTTCTTCGGGGCTGCGAGGGTGCATGCTGATCGAACTGGCCCTTAGGGGACGCCTCCAGCTTGAGGCTTGTGGCATGAGGAGGAAAGGTCTGCTGACCAGGAAGGTAGGACATGTTTTTTCCGAATGAAATTGAAGTATGTAAAGGTGTTTTTTTTTTTTTTTTTTTTTTTTTTTTTTTTTTTTTTGGTGAATGTGAAGGTGTTGTTTGGGTCACAATACATATGCTTGTGTATGCATTAAACATAACAGGACTTTGTACATACCAACTGTAATACAGGTTTAATGTCATTTATTGGTCCAAGCTAATAGTTTGAACACTGAGGTAGAACATTTGCAATCTTGGATTTTAATCAAAATGTTTATAAACACTACACTATACATTTTTGCTGCAAATAGTAATAATTAAGCATTTGTCTGATTTAAACATACTTTTTACTCACTGTCTTTACTCTCAATAAATTCAACAGGTCATTTGTAAGTCAGATGCTCCAACAGGGGATGTGCTTTTGGATGAAGCCTTAAAACACATCAAAGACACCCAACCACCAGAGACTGTGCAGAGCTGGATTGAACTACTCAGTGGTTAGTTTTTCTCTTTCCCATAACTTTAAAACCTCAAATAAAATCTAAACTAATGCCTTGTTTTATTTGAAGTGGGAGTGTTTGCATTTGTATGTGAACTAAGCAAAAAAAAAAAAAATTGACTTTGCAGTGATTGCAAGTACATGCTGGAATGATTTTATATATCTCCTCGAACCTTATTGGTGACATACATTCATGTCACGAATGAGAACCTTTCCAGCATAGACATAACACAGTTATTAATTATTATATAATAATACAACTAATGATCACATTAAAATAATATGTATAATTTGTATATAAAACCAGCAGATAACGTTCTTATATTTTACCTCCTCCCCTTTAGGAGAGACATGGAACCCCCTGAAACTTCATTATCAACTGCGAAATGTACGTGAGCGACTGGCCAAAAACCAATGCCTTGTGTTTCATTTGCGAGAAACACGAAGCGAGAGTGTCTGCATTTGTATGTGAACTAAGCAATTAAAAATAATATTTTTAATTTCGACTTTGCAGTTATTGCAAGTATATGCTGGAATTAACCTCCTAGAACCTTATTAGTGACATACTAACGTAGTGTTGTGTATTCATGTTACAAATGAGAACTTTTCCAGCATAGACATATCACAGTTATTAATTATTATATAATACATAATAATACAACTAATGATTACATTAAAGTGATACATATAATTTGTATATAAAACCAGCAGATAACGTTCTTATATTTTACCTCCTCCCCTTTAGGAGAGACATGGAACCCCCTGAAACTTCATTATCAACTGCGAAATGTACGTGAGCGACTGGCCAAAAACCTGGTAGAGAAAGGCGTCCTCACAACAGAGAAGCAGAACTTTCTGCTTTTTGACATGACCACCCATCCTCTGATCAACAACAATATCAAGCAGCGTCTTATTAAGAAGGTCCAGGAGGCTGTGCTAGACAAGTGGGTCAACGACCCCCATCGAATGGACAAGCGGTTGCTTGCACTCATCTTCTTAGCTCATTCCTCCGATGTCCTGGAAAATGCCTTTGCCCCACTGCTGGATGACCAGTACGACCTGGCCATGAAGAGAGTGCGGCAGCTGCTGGAACTGGAGCCTGAGGGTGAGAGCATGAAGCCCAACACCAACGAGCTGTTTTGGGCCGTAGTGGCTGCGTTCACCAAATAAAGCTACTGCACAGAGAACAAAAAACATTAAAGTGGCATTGTAAGTCTGGGAAGAAATAACATTACTGACCCTGACATAAACACTTGACTGACAGTTCCCTCCACCTGGACCTTTAGAGTTGATTGCTCTTCTTGATTGTCTTCCATCTTAATTTCTTTTTATTTCAGAAAAAGTGTTCTTGTTTATGCTTCACATTCTCATTTACCTTCCATGTGTCTTTTTGCTAAAATAATACCATGGAAATATAATTGAGGGGGATTGGTAATGATATGAGTGAGCCATCTAAAAAGGCAGATGTTGATTCACAGCTGCATTTTTCAGTAGGGTTTTTGAAGCTTTTGAACATATTGTCTGCGAGGCATGGCTTACTGAACATTACCATCTGGAAACACCTAACACTACAACAACTAACAAAGTGCAGGACAGCAAGGATACACTATATTACCAAAAGTATTCGCTCACCTGCCTTGACTCATACTATGAACTGAAGTGCCATCCCATTCGTAACCCAGAGTTCAATATGATGTCGGTCCACCTTTTGCAGCTATTACAGCTTCAACTCTTCTGGGAAGACTGTCCACAAGGTTGAGGAGAGTGGTTATAGGATTTTTTGACCATTCTTCCAAAAGCGCATGGGTGAGGTCACACACTGATGTTGGTCGAGAAGGCCTGGCTCTCAGTCTCCGCTCTAATTCATCCCAAAGGTGTTCTATCGGGTTCAGGTCAGGACACATGAAGTTTGTCACATGAAGTTTGTAGCTCTGTAGCAATTGACTGTGCAGAAAGTCGGCGACTTGCTTGATTTTATACACCTGTGGCCAGGCCAAGGGATTAGGATACCTGATTCTGATCATTTGAATGGGTGAGCGAATACTTTTGGTAATATAGTGTACGTGATGTTCCCAAAGGTCTTTAAAATTGGATACATGAATTATTATATTATTAGATGGCAATATATGTTGTACTGCATTCGAATTAGCATTTTAAGCACAACAAACCTGGACTTAGCCTAATGTAGTTCCATCCCACAAGTTGCTAACAAGAGAACTACAGGTTTATGCCAAATATACTATAACTTTATCTTGAGTATTTAAAATTGTTTTTATTTACAACCAGTATATCAACTATTTAGGGGTTAAAGCAGAACCAGAAACAAGTGGATATTTGATGAAAACAGACAAAAATTTCCATTTTATTAAGCTGCTATTGAGTCCTGTTTTAAGGCAAAGTGAACACTTGTCTTGTTTTTAGCATGCATTGTCATCGCCTAAGGTAGAGCTGACATCATGTCAGTACATCAACACCCAAACCACAGGCTCAACCAGCACTGAATAAATCTGCTTCTCTGGTGCAGGGAGAAAAAAAACTATTAAAGCTCACACTGGCCCCATTCATAGCAGAAAAACCTACACGTTTTTAACCGAGGACCTGTAGATAAGACCTGATTATCAGCATCCTGAGAGGTGATGGTATTAACCCCTGAACCAGCATGTAGCCAACAGTTCATTCCTCACAGTTAGAGGTTGTGTAGAGGATCATTGACTTTGTAAACACCCAGTGTACTACAATCAATTCTAACAAACTGGATGTCAGTTGTCAGACCCATATGCCAGTTACATATTAATTGGCTTTATTCATAATATAGAAAAAAACAGAAGTCTCAAACATGACTTGTTTAATACTAAAAAAACATCTGGTAAAGACGGTTTACCACTTTTCCTCAAAATGAAGTGATCAACAGTTTGACGCACTGGATGTTTTTTATGTTTAAGTATGCTTATTCTTAATCATCTTGTCATTATTGACCTTTACTCAAAGCAAATGTTCTTCAAGTTGGATGCGCATTCAAAATCAAATATAATCTGTTAACTGTGCAACATTAAGCCTTTACTGTAATTTTTTCCTTGCATTACCTAAATATCAACTTTGAATACTGAGAATGCAGAGGACAATCGTGCAAAATAGGTAACCATCACAAAAATCCTTCTTCTTAGCCACAATAAAACCCATACTAAGCCCTCTCTGTATACTAAGTGTTTATAGACAAAGAACACATTCCAAATATGTACAATTTTGTTCTATTTGTTCCTCTTGTGTTTAAGAATTTCAATAAAACACCCTGGTAATGGGGTAAAACACAACCAACTCCCCTCCTCAAAGCTCTGCTCTTACTGAGACAATTTACACGATTGGTGAAATGATCAAAATCTGGAGGTTGTAGGACCCTTTGTATTTAAAGAAAATCCATAAAACAAAAACACTGCAGTCCCCTCTGCAGCACTGTCTATAAAAACAACCAAAGCCTAACTAAAGTCTGCTAGCTGCCTGCTTGTTTAAAATGCCTAACTTATAAAATCAATGTGGCAATTTAATACAGTAAGCATCACCCCATGTGGGCAATTAAGGTGTCATTCTGTCTGGATGGACACAGAGGAAGACCACAGCGTGGAGGAGTTAACTTAGTGATACAATGTCTAAACAACCACATACAGTGGGGCAAAAAAGTATTTAGTCAGCCACCAATTGTGGAAGTTCTCCCACTTAAAAAGATGAGAGAGGATTGTAATTTTCATCATAGGTACACTTCAACTATGAAAGACAGAATAGGGGGAAAGCCACTCCTTCATTGTCCAGGCAGTGTGTTTGGGATCATTGTCATGCTGAAAGACCGAGCTACTTTTCATCTTCAAAGCTCTTGCTGATGGAAGGAGGTTTACACTCAAAATCTCTCGATACATGGCCATTCATTCTTTTGTTCACACAGATCAGTCGTCCTGGTCCCTTTGCAGAAAAACAGCCCCAATTTTACTGAGGAATTTACCAATTAATTCATTAAAAATCCTACAATGTGATTTCCTGGATTCTCCCCCCCATTCTGTCTCTCATAGTTGAAGTGTACCTATGATGAAAATTACAGGCCTCTCTCATCTTTTAAAGTGGGAAAATTTGCACAATTGGTGGCTGACTAATACTTTTTTGCCTCCTGTATTTCACAGTCCAATCATTATCAGTTCCCATGTTACGGTTAGCTCTTGACATGACATTGACTTTTTTTCTAAATCATTCAACAAAGCCTTTAATTTTATTTTGATTGTACTTTTTATTGCCATTGTTTTGTTTTATAATGTTTTATAATGTCTGTAGCACAGCGTTCGATATCTGGGCAAATTACATTAGATAGAGGTTGTGAATGCTGATTATTGGTGACTGGTGTTGTATGTAGCAAAGGGAGGAGGGACAGCTGACAATAAATGGTCAAGAGAAGAAGTGGCAGAATATTAACAGAGGCTGTAGAAAAAAGTGAGATTATATTTGAACTTATATATATGATTAAATATAATTATATATGTTCTAAATGAATAAAGGGGCCTCTAATCTGTGTTCTGTCTTTGACCCTTGAAAAAAATAAACAAAGAGCTCGGAAGTGCCTATTCACCCAACTGATTTAAGGAAACCTGAGTTTTTGTTCCTTGCTACCTCTCAGCTTGAGTTCATGGCCATCTAATGATGTTCATGAGAATATTTGTGTATAAAAGCCAGTGAGCTTTTACATATTCTAATCAGGACTGTTGAAACAATCAGGATCTAAATAACAATTAAGATTAATTAATGTTACAAATGTAACAATGTTGTGAAAAACATTTTTGTACAAGCTTAAAAGTATATTAATCGGATTAAATAATTACAATTACTGTCCTAGTTTTAATGTTTTAATTCTTGACTGTAGTGAGCTGCAGAAAGTTCTATTTATTTTGAAACTGCGTATATGTCATCTGTTTTCAGCAGTACCTTTAAAACAAGATAGAAAATAGTTAAATGTTTATACTACTGTCTCAATCTCTTACAATATGTTTAAATAGGTATTATTAATAAATTTCTTCATGGCAACCCAACTTAAACTATACAGTGTGTCTTTGGTCTTCTCTTCATGACAGATCATGATACCTTAACGTGAGTCATTCAATTCCCTTGGCTTTAAGTTCATCACGCACTAGATCCACGTACTCAGGATCTGGGTAACCATAACTAAAAAGAAAATAATATTTGCATTATTATACACTATATTACCAAAAGTATTCGCTCACCTGCCTTGACTCATACTATGAACTGAAGTGCCAGCCCATTCGTAACCCAGAGTTCAATATGATGTCGGTCCACCTTTTGCAGCTATTACAGCTTCAACTCTTCTGGGAAGACTGTCCACAAGGTTGAGGAGAGTGTTTATAGGAATTTTTGACCATTCTTCCAAAAGCGCATTGGTGAGGTCACACACTGATGTTGGTCGAGAAGGCCTGGCTCTCAGTCTCCGCTCTAATTCATCCCAAAGGTGTTCTATCGGGTTCAGGTCAGGACTCTGTCATCCATGTCTTTATGGACCTTGCTTTGTGCACTCGTGCACAGTCATGTTGGAAGAGGAAGGGGCCCGCTCCAAACTGTTCCCACAAGGTTGGGAGCATGGAATTGTCCAAAATGTTTTGGTATCCTGAAGCATTCAAAGTTCCTTTCACTGGAACTAAGGGGCCAAGCCCAGCTCCTGAAAAACAACCCCACACCATAATTCCTCCTCCACCAAATTTCACAGTCGGCACAATGCAGTCTGAAATGTACCGTTCTCCTGGCAACCTCCAAACCCAGACTCGTCCATCAGATTGCCAGATGGAAAAGCGTGATTCATCACTCCAGAGAACGCGTCTCCACTGCTCTAGAGGCCAGTGGCGGCGTGCTTTACACCATTGCATCC